CAAACTTTCCTGCTCAAATATCTGAGTAATTCTTAAGAGACTGACAGAAGCTACAGTAAAAGTATTTTGTGAAACAACTTCAGAGAGCTAGGCCTTTTAAATCTAACAAATAAATACCTGCTATTTGGTCAAATACTTACAGCATTTCATTCAAACCTACAGATACGGATTAAACGTTCAGACAGAGTCCATTGTGTTTAATCACTCGGCTGAACAGCACCTCCAAAACTTCTGTTCACCAGGGAACGGAGTGGATGTGGGGGTTTCTAAAAACAAAAACACAACTCAAAAGAAAGCTGCCTCTGGTTTATAATGCTAGCAATTTACTTGAGTTGATGATATAATCTATAGCTATGTTTTATGTTCGGATAACTGTTTTAAATGTATATAAAATGTGTTGAAACTTTATTTTAAATATATTTAAATAATATGTAAAGAAACAGATCACCATTTCATGCTAAAAAGACAGCTCATTAGCATTTTTTTGAAAAAGTGTAAAGATAATGTTCTGTGTAAAACATTTTGTACTATATAAGAATATGTATTTTGGAGTGGGGATGTCAGTATTTTCCATGTAATATTTACTGTATATATATTTATTTGAGTTTTACTGTTAGGTTCACAGTATGCAGGATGTTTATCCCTTCCAAGCTGTGTATGCTGTGATGTCTGTAGCACATCAGACAGAAGGTAAATGTCAAGGTAGCGAGAGGAGGAAAGCGAAGTTCCAAAGCCAGTGTTCCTGCTTAGGACTGTGAGGTCAAATGTATTTAACAGAACTCACATTCAGAAATCTGATAATCACTGTTCCTTCTTTACCTATACAGCCTTTGCTTCATGCGATAAGCAGCTCTTCTCTTTCACACGGACAGCTAATTATATTTAGAGGAGATACTGTTGAAACTGTGGAGTGACTTTTAATCATCATGACTAGGGATTTTCCTGCTTTGGAAAATGTAAGAGTGTGTGTGAGAAGCGAGGATGACATAATTCACAGTTTACATTAGGCTTTCTAACTTAAATACATTTTAAATACCCTTCTCTACCTTGCTGAAGTAACATACTTACTTGGTCTCTGAGAAGCAGCTTTTATTACTGGAGATAAAAGGATGATCATCAGTGTGTGGTGTTCAAGGGTTTTTTGAAAGGAGATCTGCAAAGCAAAGATGAGAACCAAGTAAAACCCTGTGATTCCCAATTGAAATGCAGTTCGTCGTGAGATTTGCACAGAAGTTGTAACTGGCCTATATTTCATTTCATCACTTTCTCCCTTAAAATTCCATCTTGGAATGTTCTACTCTGCTCAGCCAGTAACATTTGTAAATGTACCATTCTCTGATGCTAGAATTACAATGGAATGTTTGGACTAAAGTCATAATTGTGTATTTATCCTTTTGGGATGTCCTTAGAGAACCGGGCAGTGCCAAGAGCTTAAAAAGACTTTAAAAGATTACTTAAAACTTATTTCCATGTCGTGTGCTTCATGCATCTGGCTTAGAGGGAACATGCAGTACAAAGTCTAGAATTAGTTTTCATTTGCTTTGAATTCTTCTGTGCCCAAGAAGCCTTATTGTTTGGCACCAGCTTTGATTACAAATACTGTATATGGGTGGTTTTGTTTTTCTTCTGTTGCTTGAAACAGCAAAGGATACACACTCAGTGGTAAAAGTTTTTGTGGCAAAACTTCTGTAATTATCAGGCCTTTTAAAAGAAAAACAAAAACACACACACAAAAACCCCAAAACATGAGTAGATTAGTTTCTTCTGCGGATACTATTTCAGCTGCTTTTGCAGATCAGGGTAGGTAGCTAATATTGACTAGTGGCACTGTGCAAACACAAACCAAGAAATGGTGAATCGTCTGTTTCATTGAGGCCGCAGAGGAGGAGCAGTTTATATGTTGTTCCAAAGATGGTGTTCACAGTAGCATAATGTCCTGGAATTTGGAAGGCAATGTGCAAGTCGCTGTATTTCACCCTCAGGAGGATCAGTTTCTGTTAGATCGCCCAGGCTTCGGTGAGCGAAGCGCAGTGGGTCATCTTTTCTGCTTGCAGTGTTTTACCCGTTGGTTGCTTCACGTCATACATGAACCAGTGTGGGATGAAAACCAGGGATCGAGTGTCTTTAGAATGAGACCTGGGAGAAGAGGTCAGTGTCTCTGCACAGAGAGGAAATGCAGAAAGTACCGTCTGGTTTCAACGAGAAGGATACCTGAAATGGGGAAAAAGGCAGAGATAAAAGACCAGGTTACTGGTTTCTTTCTTTCATTGGCATGTAGACAAAGAACTCATGAAAATGGGGATGGAGAAGGAGGGGGACTGGATTTTAGAAGCCCCTTGATTAGTTTCATGTTTATTCCACAGACTTGTGTGTGTAGTTATGTTGGCATTTACATCATCTTATGTAGGCTTTGAAGTTATCAGGTCACACCTTATTAAGGAAGACAAGGGTGGATCGCACTTTTGTTGTCACCTTTGTTTATCTGGAAAGTATTTTCTGCGTGACCGTGTTAGCAGCACAACAAGCCACTGTCACTGCTCTTCCACAAGTCTTAATATCCAATAGTGCACTTCTCAAAGGAGGCATCCAAAAGCAAGACATCTTGGGGAGAAACGCACGTCTGTTTTTGTGCTTTAACTTGTTAAATCTCCCTTCAAAGTTAGTGTTCAAGCTGGACTTAAACTGCTTAAATTCCCAATGCTTACTCAGGATTCTGATCCTGAAATAATTTGCCAGTGCTGAGTAACTTTTTCTCCATACAGTGATTATAACCTACACAGACTGGGCGTAAGGTGTGGCGGAGGGTGTGCTTGGTTTTATGGTCGAAATCTTCATGTTTCCTTTTTATATAGGTAGGTACAGTCCTGTTTGCTGAAATAGGCTTCAGACAGCAATCATTTCTGAGGTGCACAGGAAAGGATGGTTACAAATCCCTGATACCCGGCGGTTATTCCGCTGGTGTGGTCTGACCTGTACTGGGCAGCGTGAGGGGTGACGTAGGCTGGGTTCAGATCGTCAATCCGGGGAGTGCTGACGCTGCACTCTGAACCTTTACTGCAAAGAGGCGTCTAAACTTCACAGCAGAACGCAGTGAGCTGCTCGCATGGCTGGCAGACCTTAACATGACTTGCTGTGACATGTTTCGGTGGTTTTATCTTCACTGGTTTTACCTCTGATGGGCAAACCCGATCACATACATGCTGTACGCAGGGCAGGGCAATCCTGCGGTTGTCCCCAGCTGGACAGTGTTCAGAGGGACCAATTCACACCGTTTGTTGAGGTAACCTGTTGATTTAGGTACAAATGGTACAGATGGCCACAAAAGTTTGGCTACAATCTTCGTTTAATGAGGCCAGAAAACAAACAGTACCGGGGGAGGGGGGGAGGAAGAATGTCAGCAAGTAATTGAACATGAAGTTCATGTTTTGTAACTAATGTGTTGGGTTCAGATTTTGTCACCTGAGGCAGGGCAAAATGGAAACATTTTGTCGCGCATTTGGTACTTTAGAATCCTTAAGTTGTTCTGTTTACAGCTGTAATTCAGTGTTATTTTCTAAAGAACACAAAAATGTCCCCGTTTCCCTTGGGTTTTACAGGTCTTGGAGAATGACTTTTAAACTGTGTGCATGGGATTTCTTTTTTTTTTTTTTTCCTCCTTACTAAGAGAATAATTTACTGTAACATTAAAATTCTTTGTATAGACTAAAACAGAATTGTTACTGACTGTGAGGTGCCAGATTCTGCTTCACAGAGGAAGGAAAAGCTGAGGAAAGACTGGATGGCATTTACCGGGAGCTGGCCAGTTTAGATGGGGGGGAAGCTAAAGCTTAAGGAGACCTTACCAGTGTTGATCAACGTTGGTTTGTTCCTGCTGGCTGGTTGTCCAGTCACACACTAACTTTCAAAAGATGTTTTTGAAAAATCATTTTCAGGCCTGGACAGATTCCTTAATGAGGTTTGAATTTTGAAGGCTATTGAGCCTTTTAATTTTTATAGCAGCTACTCTAATCCTCCTAAAGCAAAGTATTTGTCCAGGAAAAAAACCCAGGCTTAAAGACAGTTAACAGATAGCTTCAGGTCGGTTTGTATGTCTATGCTGATTTTAAAAACCCACCATCTCCATGAAGTTCACAAAGAGGTCAGGAGGAGTTCAGTCAGTGTCACCATGCTCTGCTTAGTGTCCATATGGTCCCGTCTCAAGAAGGGTCATGGGATTTAGTTTCCCTTCATGTTGTTGAAGTCTCCTTGTTTAGATAATTGCAGCCACTGGACTAGTTTGCCTTTCAGCTGGGAAGAAGTGTCTACAACCAGGCAATCGTCATTAGTAAAAAGGAAATGCAGCCTTGGAAAAAAAGACAGAAAAAGGAGGGGAACCTTGTCACGGCATCAAGCACATAAATTGACTGTTTGTCTGTGTCTTTTTGTTAAATCTTTATTGCAGTAGAGTCAGAATTTCACACCAGGTTGTAGTTGTCTTCAGGTGCACAGTGTGCAGAATTTCACACCAGGTTGTAGTTGTCTTGGGGTGCACAGTGTAATCACACAGGTTTTTTTAACATAACGAATATGCCTGCAAAGGACACGGTGCACGCGCCAGAGCTAAGCTGGGCGGTGGAAAGGGCAGCATCTCTGCAGAAGGAAAGCTTTTGAAAGGTTACACTTGGGTCACTGGCACTTCTTTTGGTACGTCTTTCACAGACGTCACTACACTTGGGTCACTGGCACTTCTTTTGGTTCTTTCACAGACCTCGGGTATCTTGGGTTGGCCACTCTAGTTAGGCACCTGCTTGGCTTCTGTCACCTCCACCAGCAGAAGGCACAGGTTAATGTACTTCCAAGCGTGCTTCATGGCTAAAGGCTGGGGTGGCTGGGCACGTGGAACAGAATGAGGGGGATAAATCTGTATTTCACAGCTGTCCACATAAGTGAATAGTGAATCCACATAAGAGAAACACCTTTTGTTCTTTTACTAACAGAAAAGGTTGCTCTCTTACAGTTCGCTGGGACCTTGTCAGATGGTTTGGGGAAGACAATGGATAACAGGCATCAGACCGAGCGAGAGTACATCCGGTATCATGCTGCAACCAGTGGAGAGCATCTCGTAGCTGGGATCCATGGACTTGCACATGGTAACCCTTCGCTGTAATTTTAACTCGTTTCTCTCTTAAAAGTAATGATCAGATTGACAAGAACTGTTTGTATGACTCTTGGGTGGTTGGTTAGAGCCAAGGCAGGGGAGCTATCAGAGGTTTTCTGTTTGATTTGGGATGCTGGCAGGTCGGGGTGGGGTGATGGTTTTTAAGTTGACAGGAACGCCATTTAAGAACAAGGTCTTTTCAGGGGTGGGGTGATGGTTTTTAAGTTGACAGAAATGCCATTTAAGAACAAGGTCTTTTTGCATGTAACTGTAAGCAAATGCTTTTCTGAAAATAAAAATGAAATTTCAGAGGAAGTTTTTCCAAAGCTTCAATTTATTTGTAGAGACATAAAAGACCGATGCAAACAGTCTTTCTGAGGGGCAGACATGAAAATAAAAATGAGTACGGCTGGACTGTAGCTCTCCAATGTTTGCTTTCAGTACCAGAAACCTGAGTTTCCTCAGAATCAGTACATCACTTTAACATTTCACCAGTTGGGATATTTTCTGGTTTTGTTCTGGTGTTTGGTTTTTTTTTTTTTAAGTGTACTAAGGACTACAGAAATGAATTTTGTGTAAAAGGCAGTGGGCGAGTCTTAATTTGGCCAGAATCTCACATCAATTTAGTTCGTGATTTATCTGTTGAAGAAACTTAAATCAATACAAGCCAAGTTTAAATCAAATATTTATATTTTGCATCATCTTGACTAGGTTTGTTTAAATGTCACTTAGTGCAACTGTTGCAGCCTCTGTAGAGATGAGCTGGCTTTCAGTAAAATGACAATCTTTAATATGCTGAGCAGAAGTCTTTCTGCTGGACTTCTGTCATAAAGAGACACTGTAGGTGTTGAAATGGGTTACAAGAGAGTTTCTCTGCCCCAGTGTGCTGCAAAGTCTGATACAAATGATATTGTTAGAAATGCAGGAAATCTGAAATATGCCAGTCTTTGCTAGAAAGGCAGTTATGAAAGCACTTCGTTGTGTCCTGTTATCCAGTACATAGCGGGACTGTTTCAGTCTTCATTCTGTGGAGTTTTTAAATGCTTCCCATTCGATTTTTTTTCTCCAAAAAGCAAGCAACTGTTAAATCCTATCCATTAAAATGTGGGAAATTAACCATAAACCATAGTTACTCAAGAGAAGTGATTGAAATACTTTGAGCTTCTTGAGTTTGGAAGTTCAGAGGCTGCCTGGTCTGTGCTTCGGTTCCAGACCTTAAGAGTACCTGGTACATCTTTCATAGTGAATTAAATCTCTTCCAGTCGGATATTATTGTCTGTGCGTGTGTGTGTATACTACATATACAAAGTTTAAATTTATTAGCTAATGTAATCAGTATTTAAACAGTTTTTGTATTACATTAAGTGCACGGTACATTTCTATCAAGCTCGACAGTAAGTTCTTCAGGCAGAGAGCCTCAGCTGTGACAAGGCTCTATAATTTTTCAAGGCAATACTTGTGGCCTACTTTGCTGTTCTTGTCTTCTCTAGGTATCATTGGAGGATTGACAAGTGTAATAACTTCAACAGTTGAAGGTGTGAAAACTGAAGGAGGTGTCAGTGGTTTCATATCGGGTCTCGGGAAGGGGCTGGTTGGCACAGTAACCAAACCTGTGGCTGGAGCTCTGGATTTCGCATCAGAAACCGCGCAGGCAGTGAGGGACACGGCAACGCTAAGTGGCTCCAGGTCAGTAAGCAGTTTATCTTTCCAATCCATAACACTGTAAAAATGCATATTAATACCTGCTGCAATTTCTGATCTGATCCCTACCCAAAGAAACAATAACTTCATCCAATTTACTCTGAGCTGTTATTAGTGATGTAGCCTGTTTCATTCAGCTTGCTTTTTCTTTAATAGATAGCAATAGTTGATACCACAACAAGGGTGAAATTTCACTGGAAAAGCTGCAACATAAAATAGGAATTATTAAGCTGCAGCATTAGATTAAAGCAAAATTTTTAAAAGGCTATACGAAATGAAATTAAATTTCCACAGTGGAATTCTTATGCAGAGTTAAAATGGAAGAGTTCTGCTCCCTGCTCTACCTCCAGTTTCCATTTAGCTGTGCAGAAAAACAGTTCCTCAAAGGTTTGAAGAGTTGTGGCATCAATACAGTGTCATTATCTTCTAATTTTCATTTTGTACAGTAGTCTTTACTTAGAAAAAGTGTGGATATATGCCCTTATGTCCACATGCTTATCTGCCAAAGTGTGAGGACAGCTGCTTTGGCTTCCTTCCTGTGTTCAGTTACTCGCATAGCGTTGCCTCTACAAAATAACAATTAATATGTTTAAAGTAAATGAATGTTCATTATAGTACTATGCCAAGAAGTCTTGTATGGACGTGAGGTCCTGCATGCTGAAAAAGTGAAAGAAAATCTTAAGTAAATTTCATTGTCAGAAAGCTTACAGAAAAACGTTTGCAAAATGTTGGGTTTTCTTGTTGCTTTCTCTTCCCCTTTGGCTTTTCCATTTCCTGGGTTTTTTTATGCCACGCCTGGGATCCTGAAGTGTCTGCCATCAGTGTTTCAGTAGAGAACAATAAGCTTGATGAGGTGTGAATGGGGTGAACCTAGGGGTACTTTGTTCTGAAAATGGAAGGGTTTACATGTATGCATCTTATGGATTTGGTACTGAGCTTGATTGGTAAAAACAAGAGGTCAAGGATTACAATTCGGTAAGTACATAGGCATGTACAAAATTGTATGAGAACTCTAAGTGCATCCCTGAGAAAACGCATCTCCTGTTCTGCTTGTAAATGTCTTCATTGTTTCTCTGTACAGATTGATTGATTGATTGATTGATTGATTTCAAGGTGGGGAGAAGAACACCTGGCTGTACTGTCTCACCAGTTGAGCTGTGTTTTTATTATCATATACTTAAAATCCATATTTTTACATGCTTCTATGAGATCTAGCCTCTCTATGCACAGTAGAGATGATGTTCTCAAGAGTTCCCAAACTAGGTGGCAGCTGGGAAAGGGAGAGCCTCCAGCCAGCCTTTCCTCTAGCTTGTGTTTGCCCTCGTGACAGATTTCCCTTTAACTTGTTAAGACAGGTGACCTGAACCACATTTTTGTTTCCACTAGATTCTGCAATACCGTTGTTGCAGACAAGCACTGTGAAATGATTTTAGTGTTTACACACACACTCTGCAAAAAGTTTCTGACCCAACAATCTTCTACAATGAAAAAAAAAAAAAACCCAAAGGAAAACCTTTCTCAATTCCTACACTTCTTCAGTCTACAAAATCTGATCAAAACTTTTTCGAGCTAAACAAATGTGCTTGAGAGTATATAGATAGTGTAGGAGGGGAAAAATAATCAAAAACCACCCCCCCACCAGCTATCAGCAACCTTGCACTTGTGTTCTGTTTGGTAAGGGGTTTTTTTATGTGCTTATATAATGAAGCAACCAAATTGTTCTTTTGAGGGTATTAAAAAAAAAAGAAACCCAACAAAGGATTTGTACGTTTTTTAGACTGCTGTGTACCGGTATCCCCCTGCTGCATTGGTTAACTGTTCAAGTATGTGTGGTTTGGAATCAGAACAGAACAGTGTTCCAAACCCAAGTTGCTGGCTCCCGTCGAATATTCTGTGTAAGCGTGTTGGGCCGTGTAGACTCTTCTGAGCGAAGTACACAAAACCAGCCAACCCTGATGAATGGAAGTTTACGGCGGTAACTGATCTCAAGCGTGGTTTTGAACAGTTGAAGAATGTGAGTTGGTGAGCATGGTAGGAGCCATCCTGACCTTACCCTGAGAATGACAGCGTACGTTCAGGTTTCCAGCGTTGGTGCAACGTTGAGTCAACCAGTTAATTACAGTTGCATTGAACAGCATGATCCATTACCATAAATTATAGTCCCCTTGCAGTTCTCTAATTACACGGTCAAATTTTTAAAAAGCCCTGAATTTAAGCTGCTTGACTTGAACCATTGGATCAGTTTTGAGTGAGAGGATGAATTTTAACTGAGGCTGTCCATTTTCCTACAAGGCATGTCCCAGTTCCAGCGAAAGTACTGAACTGAACAGAACACTGAGGAGGACTCTGTAGCTTGTGTTACTGGGATCATGCTACATGGGCAGAAGTCTCTCATCGCTTCAAAATGTATTGGTTTGTACTGGGACTCGTGGAGCTAGCACAACCCCTGTGTTTGGCACACGGAGCCACGCTGGCGTGGCAGGGATGCAGACAGTGGCTTTATAGCTCATGGCAGCAGGTTAAAAGGTGGTGTGTTTAAAGTACAAGAAAATATTTTTTAAATCAGACTTTAGGCTGGACTTTTTCAAGGCTAATCTTAGAACTTATTCTGTAATCATGTAATTTATTATGCTTGATATTTATGAATAAAGCTGCCTTAATACTTTTAAATTTCAGTGCAGAGGAGAGCATAAAATAGTTGTTGTCAATGCAGCGTCTAATTTATAAACATCTAATGCCTGTGACCTTTTTTGAGTGGGTTTTATGTGTTCCAAGTATTCTAGTGTCACACACAAGAGTTCTGATTATTTCCATATTTGTCATACACTGCCAAAAGTCTTAAAGACCAGTTCAGAACAGGAAAGCTGTTATGTCTCTAGATAGGCTTGGAAAGCTCTCTCCTAGAAACGTGTTTTAAGTCCTCGTGCAGCAGGAGTAAAGAACATTTGTATTTAGATGTGTGCCTGAGTTAACAAGCGGTGCAGGGAACTGCCATCAGGGCTTTCTCTCAGGGTTCTGCCAGGTCAGTGCAAGTTTAAGATCATTCTTGAACTGTTGTCACAAGGGCTTGTGTTTTTTTCTGATAGTTACAATGTGAGACTTAGAAGCAAGGAAATAACTTCATGACCTACCCAGTTCTAATGAATTCTGTCAGGGAACTAGACTGGATTAGTGAGGAACGGTTTGAGACTGGCAAGCCATTAATGGTCAAAGAAAATTCTTAGGTAAATATTTGATTCTTTTAAATGTACTTCACCTGGAAAGACACAGCCCATGCCAGTTGTTCTTTGTTCACCACTTTCAGGCTGTCACTTGGAAATGTGCAGTGAGGTTGCAGAGTTCGAGACAATGTCAACAGCTGGTGGTTTTATATTTTTTTTCCTTTGTGCATCCATCTCTGGATGAATCATCTAGCTATGATTTCGATTGTGAGGTCAAAAGCAGTCGACTTGAGAGCGTAAGTATCAGTGACACTGAGAAGCAGAAGATACACACCTAGCTGTATGGAACACCAGCTCAGCACACACACTGCAAGGAGTATATTCTCAAGGTTCTCGAGTTTTAAAGACAAATATTGGTTGAACCTTAGTGCCTCTGGATGTGTCCCAAACTCTGTTGTGACCTTGGACTTGATCTAGACCTGACCTCAAGAGTCTTTACAGTAATGTCAGTCGTGTATGGGCCACGACTCTGGAATGAGACATTATTCTTCTCCTGGTAAGCCCTGCCTAAGATTTTCCTGGGAGCCAGAAAGAAAATATATTTATCGGCTAGTATTCATTGTGTTGTGTAAATCTGGAAATGTTGCATACAGGACAGTTCAGGTGATTTATTGGTCTAACCTGTAAATGACTTGGGCAGTGTCGTTTCCTTCATATCCTTTTTCCTCTTCTTTTTCCCAGTGGGATAACAGGTCTTTATAATGAACTGTTTTCTCAAATGATCTGTTTTCTTTTGGGCAAGTTTGTCCTTTTTACTCCTGTGGCACCCTGCTAAATGGCTGTAGGCAGCAGCTTTTCCTCAGTCTTAGCCCTGCCTCCCATCTTCAGTCACTGCTGAGCTTGATTTTATGGGTTTACGTTCTCCTGTCATTAGTCTGTCCAGATTCTTACGCTGCTGCTGTCGAGTTCCTGTGAAATCCCCCCAGTCTGTAGGTCCCCATCAGCATTGTGTGAAAAGGGAACGTTGTATCCCTGTGCTGTGACACACTGTGGGCTGCAAGTCATCCAAAATTGTCTTGGCTGGTTTTACTGCCATATCCCATTGCAAACTGATATCCAGTTTTCTGCTTGATATCTTCCCCCAATATTTTTTTTTTTATGTTTTGTTTTATTTTACTGCTTTGCAAATATCTTGTCATTTAATATTGGTGTTCAGGATCATTTTTCCCCAGATGAACCAGGTTGTGTTTTGCAGGTTGAATCCCACTTTGTTTCCTGCCGTATTTCTGACCTCTGCAGGTTCTTTAGTGCTTCACTGTCCTCACTGGAGTTTTAAACGCCTCCTGGCATGTCCTCTCCAAACGTCATTGTCCATGCTGCATGGAAATGCGCGTTACATCCTCACACAACTAGAGGCAGGGATGTTTCCATCTCTGGTTACCTGGTACTGCCCTGAGTGCAGCTTGCACGGGTTTGGCATCGAACAGGACTGTGCTGTGCCTGGGCTCACAGCAGGAACCAGCTTCAGCTTGATCACTTCACAGAGCTGATGTTTTCCCGTCAGGTTAAACCCAAGGCACTGGCGTACTCTGTCAGAAGTTTAAGCAACGATGAGCTTCCTTCTAGAAAGAGCTGGTAAGTCCTTGGTTGGATTTACCACAGATCTATTCTACAGCTAAGTGACAACTAAAGAGGACTGCATTTGCTCCTTGTACTGCGTGCCCGCTTTGCAGTATTTAGCTGTTAACTAAAAGGAATCCATCTAGACAGGGAGGAACTTTCATTTCCCTCGGAAATACCTGTATCCCTAGAGCCTGCATATTT